CCCCAAAACCCCAAAACCCCAAAACCCCAAAACCCCAAATTAAATTTATTTAATTGAAAATGAACTCTAGTTTGGAAGCTTTTAGAAAATGACAGCAATTTTGGGACAAGAAAGCTGTAGAGGTTGAACAGAATCCTTTCGATAAACAGAAAATTTGAGAGAGTGATACAATGAAGAATCAAGACGAAATGTCTACTAATCAGACTACTTCAAAGCATTCAAGAGGTAGATTTAATGATTATATGACTCAAAATGTGGACCAAAGAATAGCTAATTTTCAATCTAACAGTTCAAAAGATATTTTGGAGCCTCCTTCAATACCTGATCTGTCTTGATTTGATGAGAGCCACCAAATATATCACCAACAGGTAGTTTTCTATATTCAGACTAGAATTCAAGTTAACCCTTCTATATTCTGATAATAAAATTTATTTAGGTTAAAACTCCTAAAGAAAATATGAATTTCCTTGAAGATTCTTTTGGTGCAACACAAAGATCAAGATCACCTCATTTACAAGACAATATCATGAATAGTCCTGATTTCAAAATTTCTCAGACTCCTACTCACTCTCAAAGGAAGAAGTAAGCCATTTCTTAGAAGATTTTATAGAAAATTGGTAAGAACTCCAAAGAAGAATTCAAATTCTCCACATGTAATCGATGTGAGAGCTGCTCCTTTCGAGATCAATGGAGCACCAGCTTGGAAGAAACTTAATGATAACAGAGAACTATTAGTAGATAATAAGGATAAAGCTGAATTATACCATAGTTATGCATGCTTTCATCCTGATAAGACAGAAGGCGCCTTTAAATCTCAAATAAATGCAGAGACTATGTTCTCCCCAAGCTCAGGTAACTCTGATTCTTGGATTCAAGTCAAAACTAAAAAGTCAAAGAAGAAAGGGAAGAAGACTAGGAAGAGAAATAAGACCAACAAAAAGGCTCTGAATAAGTCTCATAACAGTATTATTTCCTTTATAATATTCAGGTAATTACCACGAATTCTGCCTTAAGTGGCAGAAAGAGAGGAATAAGGATCTTAAGAAAAAGAGGAAGCAAATGGCTTATAAAATAATGGAGGAATGTACATTCCAACCGAACATGCACGGGAATAAACAGAAACTTACTAGTAAAAGAGGCAGATATGAGAAAGGACTCTTTGAACACTTTGGAGTGGATAGCCACATTGAAAGATTACAGAAAGCAAAATATGATCAAGAAATGGTAAATAAAATGAAAGAGAAAGGATTGACACTAAATTGAAAATCAAGGAATAGACTTCTCAGAGGTAAGAACCCCTCTATCAAAATTCCTAAGAGAACAATTCCAAAGAAACAAAAATTTAACAAAAGATTTGTTTTAAATGATCTTGATGCTTCAACGAATAACCAGTTTAATATTACGAGTTGAAATGAATTACTCCATGATGTTAATGATGAGAGAGAAATCTATAATTTCGCTAGGAATTTATCATTCTCAGATCTGAGCGAGAGATATCCTACTCCAAATGACTCTATCCTACCTGAGGAGAGTACAGAATTTAAAGAAGCAGTGATGAATTTGCATAACTTCCTTCATACTGATGAATAGTTTCAATATTAGCTTGAATTCAGGGGTTTTGGGGTTTTGGGGTTTTGGGG